GTAAAAAGACGCTATAAAAATTCATATTAAAATAACGTTAAAGTAAATATTACTTACTGGTATTATTGTGTACTGTTATATAATTTATGTGATAAATTATTGTTATTTAATATTATTTATTAAATAAACAATAATACTGAAAATATTTGGAACAAAATAATTTATTTAAAGTTATTTTGTTCCAAATTAATTCTGACATCGTTAAAAAATCGTCTGTTAAAATATTATTAAAAATATAAATTGTTTCTTAAAATTGAATTCAAAAATTTAAAATTCTTTGCATTATCATAAAAATTGCAATACTTCAGACGCAAAACTATTAATCCTTACGTTCCACGCGGCCTAAATGGAAAATAACGAAAAATCGCCCGGAACGCGTTAATAACATTTAATTTTATTTAAAAATGGCACTCTGACACACAAATATCTTCACCGTCTTTTCGAAGTATCGAACGAAGTTCATTCGCGAGTCATCGTCCGGAGCGGACGAAACTTTAATCCGAGAGCCGCTTTAATAATAAACCGGGAGAAACCGGGCACGATGATTGTGGTTGCATCGCAAGCGACAAGCGTCGTCGCTTTGTGCGCTCGTCGAATCGGCTCGAATGGCGGCGTGGCTCGCGGCCGAGGTCATTAAACGAAGTTAATTACGCTTGTATAATCCGCGGACAACGCCTGAATTCACCGCGTGCGGCGGCGGCGGCGGCGGTGGCGCGCGGTGAAAGCGGCCGCGCGACAATGCCGATTACGGAACAAATTGCACCGTTGCATCGCGCGATGCAACGTCTTAATTGTGGCAGTATGTACGTGGCTCGTTTGCGGATGAAACTGCACGGATTGGTCGAATCAACCGGCCCAATCCGCAACCGTACCGTGGAAGATGAATTCAACTGCAACTCGATTAACGACACAATGCTCCGGCTTGAATTTCGAACGAGGTCGGAATTTCGCTGGGAATTGGTAGTTCGTTTTGCAGCTGCTTACCATCGTCGTAAATTATTTCATTCACTCCGATCTTGCTCGTGGGAGAAAAATTTGTTATCATTTTCACTTGACAAAGTGTAAAAAGAAATGTATCATGCATCTGCTTTAACCTCTTGCGCTGACAACTAGTTTAAGTTAGGTTAGGTTTAGGTGGTTCACGGACCATAACGAGTGACCAAGCCGTATACGATAATTTGTCGGTATGATATCACTGGATAGAAATTATACTTAAAACTAAGGAAATATTGCAATTTTGGGACAAAAAATTCTCGACGTTAAGGTTAATCTCTTGTGCTGGCAACTGATTCGCGGACCATAACGAGTGACCATATACAACCGTATACAATAATTCGCCGCTTTCTTTTTGAACTCGTTGGTATGATGTCACTGAATAGAAATTATTACCAAGAAGTAATAAATTTATTATTTGTTTTGTTTTGTCCGGGTTATATTTAAATATATTTGAAACTGAGAAAATATTGCAATTTTGGAACCAAAAATTCTCGACGTGCGTGGCTAACCTCTTGTGCCGGCAACTGATTCGCGGACCATAACGAGTGACCAAACCGTATACAATAATTCACCGCTTTCTTTTTGAACTCGTCGATATGATATCACTGGATAGAAATTATCACTAAGAAGAAGTAATAAATTTATTATCTGTTTTGCCTAGGTTATATTTAAATATACTTAAAACTGAGAAAATGTTGCAATTTTGGGACTAAAAATTCTCGACGTTGAGGTTAACCTCTTGCGCCGGCAACTGATTCGCGGACCATAACGAGTGACCAAACCGTATACAATAATTCACCGCTTTCTTTTTGAACTCGTCGATATGATATCACTGGATAGAAATTATCACTAAGAAGAAGTAATAAATTTATTATCTGTTTTGCCTAGGTTATATTTAAATATACTTAAAACTGAGAAAATGTTTCAATTTTGGGACTAAAAATTCTCGATGCGCAAGAGGTTAAATGTTAACATTATTCGAGTGAAATTGAAATACCGAAACTATCCTGTGATACACTATCACAGACTATAAAAATAAATGTATTATGTATTTGTTTTAAATGTTGACGCTACTCCAGTGAAATTGAAATACTAAAATTATACTGTGATATACTATAATTGAGTCTAATATTCTTGAAATATCGAGAAATTTCCATAACACGACACGGCTGTAGTAACTCCGCGTTCGAACTCAATATGACTGTCTCTTATATGTATACGTTATGTGGGTAAACAAGTGCATATTATTGCAGTACGGAGGTAGCTGCAACTCGGCAAGAAGATCAGATTGAATATATGTATATCTTGCGAGTAACAGTGAAGTAGCTTCGACACGTGCCAGAGATGACGAAACATGTTGCATAACAATGGACTGCGCGAAACGAGATACTCATACACAACACGATGTACTCATACATAATCCCTTTTATCGCTAAATTTCCATCGACAAGCAAAATATTATGAATATTAAAATATTATATAACGACACGTGTGTAAAATATACAGCGACTCCCATTAATATTCGAACGCTATAATATTTGCAAAACGGAAGGGATCGTAAATTTCAAAGCATCGTTCATTTTATTCCAAGATATTTTCACACTGTGCAGCAAATGACAAAGTGATGGCACTCTTCTACACGAAAATGCTACAAATTGTCAAGATACGTGAAAAACGATGTGGAAAAATTTTTCTCGTGATGATTTCTTTGTTCAATCTACGACGGACATAACTTGAAAAAGTTGCTGTACCATTTTCCTTGCCAATTCATTGAACTTTGAACTTTGCTTCCATTTCCTGAACAAACTAAATACTTTGGCTTGGAATGTTTCAATGTTCAAATAAATATTAGTATGCGAACATTACAGGGAGTCACTGTATACATAAATATTCATATATCAACACGTGAAATATCGTATCTCCGCGGAGAGTCTAACAACTGGAAATTTAACTCCTGGCCGAGTTTACAACGAAATGTTGTATTTCTTACGTCGACTATACACGTATCTGTTGAACGTTATAACGTAATTATTTAATGGAAACGAGCAGGCTTGCCAAATGGACGGCATTAATACGTTCCCACGGCGACAACAACCGACCAAGCAGAAATGATATTCCAACGTTCGCGCGACTGCGAAAACACCTTTCGTGCAGAGCTGGCCAGAGAGCGTACGCAATGGACGCGACAAATTGTTCTCGAGCATCCGGCCATCTGGCACGGATTAAAAGCTGTTGATGGAATTGCAGTTTGTTGAATATCTACCACGTGTTTTCGTTTTCAGCGAGACGCGACGTTGCGTCGCGAAATTTGCGTTTAATGGAGAAACTGCTGGCCGGTCGTTACGCAGTCGGTTTATTTCCCTGTTATTTGCGAAATACGTGATCTTTCGATTTTTTTCTTTTTTTTTAAAGAGTTTTCTAGAATTTACTGTAAATATATATTTGGAAATATATGTGCTGGTTTATACGCCTCAGGGATACGTAATTCTGACACTGGAAAAGTAAATTCAAGTTAAAATAACGAAAATTAGCAGAGAGCCGTGTAATGCCGAAGAAAGTTCTACGTTCTTATCGATAATTATCTGAATTGTTTTATTAATACTATCGTTTTTTCTGTTAGCGTTATTTTTTTTTTTTTTTAATATTATCAGACATACAAAACTTTATACGTTTACGTTGCGACAAAAGTTATTTTTAGTAGTGAACTTCTTATCCTTCAGTTAAGTAAATAATTTTGTTACATCACGTACATTATTTCTAGACTACTAAATTATACCTAAATGCCTCAGTTTTTGCGATTTACTTTGTACATGAATTATCAAGCTTATGCCTTTTTCTTTTTTTTATAATCATCCAGTATTGGACAAAGTTTGAAAAAAGTTTTTTCTACGATTATAGTTCTTATATATATAGGTTTTTTCTTCTTCGTTTTTGTATAGAAAAATATCCGAAGTTAAAGAGAAAATGAAAGACAACGTGAAAGTAGCTTTGAAAATTTCGCTCGAAGAGAAAATGACTATGAGGCAGATTGAAGTTTTCCACGTTCGAAGAAAGAAGAAAATCGATTATTTTGCAAACACATTTGTTTGTTGTCTCATTTAAATGTCCTCTCATTAATATTATTAATTACGTAGAAGTTAAAATTTATTATTTAAGCAGGTGTTATCCAATACTGAATGACTGCGAATCGAGACTTTTTCATTCATGCGAATTACGATGAAATTTAACAAGATTTACATTTGCATTTTCCAAAAAAGTTCCATTTTTCATCGAGAATTAGCCAACTTATAATAGAAAAACTTAGAGCCCTCTCCCCTTTGATCTTACTAAATTTTGCTCAACGTTTTTCCACACGTGCATAGATCTTTCACGTCACTATAAACATTTCCAATAGATCAAAAAAAAAAAAGAAAAAAAGAATCAATCTCTCGAAGTCACACAAATCGCGACACTTCGGTCACTCTCGGAACGAAAAGAAAACAATGCAAAAAAAAAAAAAAAAACAAAAGAAACAAATTCGAAGGGAAAGCAATTGCTAAAGCAATTATAAAACGCACGGGAGAAAGGAAACGAAAACATTCGAGGAGCGTGGAAGGGGTGGGAAGAGGAAGAAACGAGAAGCCGATGTTTTGATTACGGTGACAATTTCGCGGAATGCGCAAAAGTTTCGCCGGCGCGGTGGTTGGTCCGGTTTGATTTTAATAAAAGCGAGCGAGGGTGAAGAGGAGGGGCAGGCGGTGGTACGAGTTCGACTTTTCCGGGTCGAGGTTCCCGCGGTCTGCGGGAAAAACGACCACCGGATCGCCGCAAGTTTTCGCCGCGAGACTCTCGCCCACCCCTCTTCGAGGCCCGATATTTATTCGAAGTTCGAGCAAAGGATACAACCAGGCTACTTGGAATAACCTGGCCGGGGAAATTGAGAAATTGACGAAACTCTGGAATATTTGTTGGTCACTCGTGTTACTCTACGTTCCAATAGCAATAGGTCGGTTTTCGCTCGCGAAATGTAATAAAAATACTTAATGTCGTTGAAGAGAGTGATGCGATGGTTTTGTAACAACAAAATAATGTAATAAAAATATAATACTAATACTAAATACGTACAATATATAATACTATATATAAATATATGATACTAATACTAAATATATACAATACTAATACTACGGTAATAATAAAAGTGTATACAACGTCGAAAGCATGCTATTCGTTACCAATGTATTTATAAATATAAATTCATAAATCATTCGAAAATGGTTAAACTAATTTCTTGATGTAATTTTGTGAAATTACGCGTGTAATTTTCTTAGGTATATACGTCGCTGTACCAACGACTCGATGATGATACGAACTGACAATGAGAGAACAAAACATACGGCTATTCCGATATTGATCGTTTAAGCGTGAATTGGTAAATTACAAAAGGCCCTCGAATAACACGGAACTTGTATTACAGAACGGGGCATATAACACGGTACTTCAATTACGTCAGATTCTATAAACAACACAATGGTGGGGAGGGGGGGGGGGACACAATAATCACATTTGTACGAATTCACAGTCGCTTGTTTTCACGCATCTTATCAATCTCGGCGCATGACATTCATCATCTACGCGAATCTTTTGAAATCTGAATGAGATATATCGTGTGGTAATTGAAGACAACTTACGGATCGATAACTCGAGCGATGAATTTCTCTATCGGTAACGTTACTCACCTGTAACACACAAAAGAACAAGAATAATCAGATAATTTAGTTATTAAGAAAATGGAAAATCTACGCGCAAGTGTTCCAGTGTTCAATAACGAAAATAATCAGTTCGCAATTCTTCCTGAAAGTTTTATAAATTTACAGATTTAAATTAAATTAAAGACTTTAGTACAATAGATTTAAAGATTCTAATTAAATTAATGATTTCAATACGATTATATCATTATAGTTAACGATTTTTCATACGATTTATTGTAAATACGAGCTTCTTTTAGCATTTTAAATCCTCTAATACGAATTCAAGAACTCAGTCGTTCTTGCATTAAACTAGAAAGAGAAACGTAAAAATTCCAAGATCCAAAGAATTTTGTTTCTTATCGTATTATAAGCTTCTTTCTACACAAATTTAATCGATACATAGAGCGTCCAGAATTTAAATAGTCAAACTTCGGGGGCTTAATTTATACATAAAATGAAGAAAAGAGAAAATATAAAATTCGACACGGAACGCTTTGTTGGACAGTTATAAACAAATATCACACACGTGAAATATGTAAGATGCAACGTATTTCCCATTAAAATACACAATCAGCGTCGTCGATATATATATCTCTTTTCATATGTTAACATTATTCGTATCATTAATTGTAAAATAATTTTTAATTCCATCAAACTTATCAGCGAATAATAACAACGCTCTAAAATCTCTGAGAGTTATGCCGAGTTTTAATAAAATTAGCTAGTTGAATAAATCTTTCGTTTCAAAGTGCTCTATGAATAAAAATCAAGATGGCTGTTTATTTGTTGATGATTCTGTAACAAGACGTTTCCTGGCACACTTTGTACAACATTGTATCCATCTTTTGTGTAGATCAAGCATCTGCAGCTTGGCTGATTAAGTTCGGAACATTCTGTACAATTCAGGCCATAAACTATATTGTAGAAATAAAAAAAAAACAAAAAAAAAAATCTTCAAAAATTTCAAGATCCGCAGCTGCAACTCGAATAATACCCAGCCGAGACTAACAACCACTCACGAGCAACCACCACCTAGCATTAACCCCGAGCAATCCTCATTCAACACGATTCTCCGGCTCTCAAACAGGCAAGTGCTCGGCTTCTCCGAACTTGCTCACGCACATTGTCTTTCCACCCCCATCCGAGGACCAATTAGAAGATAACAGCACGCGTCAACAGCGTTGTACCAACTTTGAGGAAAGGGTGAAGCTTAAGGTTAGAGTTTCTTCTCGGTGGCGTAAGAAAAAGAAGAAGAAGAAGAAGAAGCAGCTCGTTCCGTTTCAAGAAAGAAAAGAAAAGAAAAGAGGAAAAAAGAAGAGAAGAAGCAAAGAAGAGAAAAGGAGCCGGTTAAAAGAAGACGCTCGTATCCTTCTATGGTCAGGACGCGCAGGCCGCGAGACGACGATTTACGAGCAATAAACTAGCAATAACGATCGTTACGCGTCGGTGTCGCCGGAGACCGGAGCTGCATTGTACGCGCTCGTACGACATACCCGACGAATCTCCACGTTCCGCTTCGTCCTTCGTCGGGGACAATGCGTTTTACGCTCGATAAAAGTGGCCTCAGCTTCTCCCTACAGGTGTTTACAGTCTCGCGGAAGACACAGGATCGAACGAGTTACGTGCGTTTGACGGAAACGTGTCTAGGATCTGGATGTACTTGTTCCTCTCGGAGGAGCTTTTAGAATCCGGAACGTAAAATCTGGACGATCGACGAAGATCGATGAGAACGATTGGTCTACGTTCCCTTAGACTTTTTAGAGATTTTTAATTTCGACAGCCAGGC